TTATTATTGGCTGGGATATTTTTGTGCTGCCGTTTTATTTTTAATTCATTGGTTACAGTGCAAAGACATGCTCACTGTGATGCTTGATTCAGTATATGCCACAGGTATGAATTCAAGTGTGAAAGTTATGTTTAACTGTTGTTTATGCAATTCCAATAGCTTATTTGGTGGGAAGTTTTTTTCCTGTTGGTGGTTTTTAGGGTAAAGTGATAAACTGAGACCTGAAATGCATGAACACAGTAGTTTCTTTAAATGTGTTCTTTTATGGTGGTTTTTCTTTCAAAATACAGCATTTTATGAGGAAAGTATTTAAATGTGTCATTGTACTTTATTTAATAAGCATGTGTTGAACAACTTATTGTTAATTTTGCAACTATTGTACTTTGAGAAAAAAAATACTTCAATTTGTGCATGCCATGATAATGAGCTGCTGCGAGGAAGACTCATAAATGTTACAGCACCAGTGGGAGGAAGGGCTTTCCAATAGAGATTTTCTAGTACTAAAGGATGCCATCATCAGAAGAACGACATTTCTTTTATCTGCATTGTTTAGAGAATATCATTACCAAATGACAGGATACTTTGAAGCCCAGCAGTTATTTTTTTGTGTGTTTTAGTTTCTATAAAAAAAAAACATTGCAGGACTCTAGACTGCAGTGGAAGATGAATACATTTGGTTTTAGCTAATTATGTTTTGCAAGTTTTGGTACATTTGTGCTTCCTGGTACACAGTTTGTGCCTGGCTTATTGTATGCTGTTCTAAGCACAAAAACCAAAATATACAATGAACAGTTTAAAACATAGGCACAAGGTGAATCTTGTGGCTATGTAACAAGAATTTATGCACAAGCAGAAGCCTAATAAACTATACAATTTTTCTTGAGTCCTGAACTCTCAAGCAGCCCTTTACAAAACAATTGAGCCACTCCAAATCAAAGTTTCATTTTATAAGTTTGTAAATATATTTCTTTGGTGAGTAGACACAACTACAGTCATAAAAGGTGTAATTTGGTCAATGAAATAACTGGTGCATGAATCCATTTACCCGTAGTTGTTTTTTGTGCAGTCTGTTGAAAAGATTTAAAGAATATAATAAGGAGACCCATTAGGCTCATTGAATCACACTTATTGCAGTCACTCCTATGAATGATCTTTTATGACACTCGTGAAAGAAAAAAGAAAGCAGTAGTTACTTGGCCTCTGTCAGAAAGTAAATCCGCATAAACCAAACAGGGACACATGAAATGAAAATTGCAAAGAAAACTGAACTAAAAAGAGAAGATGTGTTAATCTTTATTTGATTAGGAGACTTACTTGTGCTTCAGACTAGTTTTTATGAAATCTAAAACTTCTATCAAACATCAGTTGTTTGACAAAAATCTCACATTAAATTCACTCTCAAACACCATTAGACATCCACAGTAGTGAAAATTAAATATACTGCATGTGCTTAAAGGTCATGTGACTGTATTGCAATGATTAAAATATCACAGCAAATGCATGTAACTGATGGTATAGTAACAGCTGGCCACGTCAATATGGCTATGTCATTGGACCTGAATTTAAACAGCAATTCAGTGTGGAATAGAGCCATACTGCTTTTGTATTCTCTCATGTAAAGTTATGGTGAATGGGGATTGATATAAAATCCATATGAGCGGAGGCCTCCTAAGTGGGCCCATTGCTCTCCCCAAAAAGACACTGGTCTTTATTCAAACATTCTCATCCCTCATTCTCTCATGTAACATATTATTCAACAGCTGTTGTAACTGGACCTCCAGATGCAGTAGATCTGGGTCATAATTGATATTTGAGCAGATCCCACATGTCTTAAATTGGGGAAAGATTGAGGGACCTTGCAGACTGTGGATGGACCTCAACGTGACACAGGCATTCCCAGATTAATACATTGGCAGGCTTTGTCTTGTTGAAAACCTATACCAGGGTGCTGCTCAGGAGACATGCGACCACAGGATGTCACTGGCATGGTGTTGCACCATTAGGGGGCTGTAAATTATTATCAGAGGTGACCTGAAGTCATACCCTTTGGGTTTCCATATCACAGTGCCAGGATTAATGCCAGTGTGTCCGTCCACGACTTTGGCAGTAATGGTTCTTTCCACCATAGATGCTTACAATGGTCATTTGTGACCACATACCAAAATTCATTATTGAAGTGGCATAGTATGTCGCCACTCATCTTTAGTCTGTGCAACCAGTTACAGCACCACCCTGAAAGCAGCCATCTCTGCTCTGGTGTTAATGGCAGGTATGCATGTGACATTGACTCTGTAATCCAACTGATGCCAGTCATCAAGAACGTGGGTTGTTGTAAAGAGTCTGATACCTGTGACCACATGATAGGAATAAATGTCATGAAGTCATGATGTCATGCTCGGCAAGCAATACAACAGATATCGGATAACCATTTTGGTTTTATGATATCTGGACAGGCCAACTATTTGCAGATTGACTGGTCTGGGACCAAGTTCCTTTCAAGTCAGACCATCCTATCTGTATGTGTAAATCTCTCTCCACTATTCTTTTTTAAACTAAAGCCCTCTGCATGATCCATCCGAACCTGTGAAATCCTCTCTTATCGTCATAGCTTGATGAAAATCATGTCACTTTGTTCTTAGCTTCATGTTGCCAGACCCTTCTTGGCTCAAGCCCTTCGGTGAACCTTTCACCCCCCCCTTTCCATAAAATTAGTGGTCAGAAGTGTGTAGGCATGTTTGTCTATGCTGTAAAGGCCTCAAACAACAGTGGCAGCATTTTGCTTCAAATATTCCGCTTCCAGTAGCCAACTTTTGTGCATCCAAACAACATTGTTTTGAGGGGCAGTTGTCTGAGGCAGTCAGAAAGTATGTCCATCTGACTCTTACAGACACTTATAAGATAGTCAAATGGCCAAAAACTCAAGGATGTAGAATGCACAGACATGCACGGCTGAATCTATCAGCCCAAAAATGTGGCACTCTATCCCTAACAGATTTGTGGCCAAACAATGGATATGTTGTCCGGAGTGTCTCCAATGGGAAGATGACCGTGTTGCTGGAGGGTTTTCCCAGGTGCCCGTTGCCATGTGTCTCGTGAACCCTGAAAGATGTGCACGAAATATGAACATCGAGTAATCGCACATCAACAGTTTGGCTTCGGATGGAGCATGCCTGGTCCCTAAGGTAGTCCCACATGTTGAGCTTGACCATTATTGATAAATGAAAGACCACAGGTGCAACATTTTGCTTCTGTCAGTCTGTAATGACCAAATGAAGTAAGTAAAATATACTTACTGTTTTTGTTTTATCCGTTTACACAATCAGTTTTACAAACTGTATCCTATAGTCTAAAGGTGTGTTGGCATTAAAGCTCTGTGCCTTTGTGCATCACAGCTCCTGTTCCCCCTCCTGCTGCACTGTGCAGTCACTCTCCTCCTTTCTCCGTCCTCTGCCTCTCATTCCTCAGAGCCCTCAGATGAACTCGCTAAGCTGACACAGCTCGAGTTAGTCCCTCTGACTGTGGATGGGGCCCTGGCCCACCACCTGCAACACTGCCCCTACCACCTCCGCCTCCTCAAGACCCAGCTGATGTGTGGTCAGGAGCTCCCAGAGTGTCTCTACGGTCAGCCTCTGTGGTCTGCTGTCTGTCTCTGTCAGTCTCACACCTTTGAACTGGGACTGGAGAAACTGGGATACTGCTAATGCTGGTTGAGCTTTGCATCTACTGTTCCATTCTGACTTGTTTCCTGCTTGTGTATTCTTTTTTTAATCTGCCTGTTAATTTTGTCTGTAGTCCTGCAGCATGCACCATTTCATGGCTAAAATCTGAAAAATGTTAGCATGTCTGGCAGAAGGTGCAGAATTGTCTTCCTTTGCATCTTGAAAGTCAGAATGAAACAAGTTTGGAGGTTTTTTTTCGACGGTAAGTTTATGTATTTCAGAAGAAATTAAGTTTGTGAATTAAGTGTATGAGGTGGATTTTTTTAAGTTGGTACAATTTGAGTAAATTGCTGAAAAGTGACTATGATGTTGATGGCTGTAAATGACAGACCTAGACAACACTATCTCAAGCACAAGTACAATAAATTTTATTCTGCGAGTTCATATCCAGGTTTATTACCTGGTTTCATCAAAATATTTTCTCAAAACGTGTTTGTTCCAACTATTCTAGTCACTGTGGTCTACCAGTTTAGGGTAAGTTTTGCGAAATGAATAATGGTCAGCTCCTGGTCTGTAGTCAAGTACCGCTAAATCAAGACATTAAAGGCCTTATGTCAAACTAGAAATGTTTAAAAAAAACTACCTGGAAAGAAATGTTTTCCTCTTTAGTCCAGCTTTGGTCAATGTTGATTTGTTGATTTGTTATTCGACTTTTTTTTACATACCACAAGTGAAATTGAAAACACAAGAAAAACAAAACAAGCTCCTTACCTGGAAAAATATGGAACCTAGATCAATGAAGACAAATTCCCAATTGTCTCTTTTCTTGTTTCTAAACTTCGTCAGTTTTGTTGAATTTAGTTCTCTGCAGATTATTAAACAACATCAGAGTATCTAACGTGGAAACCGTTCTTCTTGTCAGTTGTAATAAGCTTTGCCATTGAAGAACTAACAGTGCTACAGGCATGCTAGTCACTTGTAAGTCAAACTTTTCTGTGGCTCATTTTTAGGTTCGCTTTTTTGTATTTTGTGGATGTTTCAAACTGAGTTTTGACTGCAGAGAAAATCCCTGAAAATGGGCCATTTTTTTCCGCAACAGTGTCTTTTTGGAGACTAATGTCTGGTGTTAATGGCATCGATTTGACTTCCTCAGTGCCAGATTACGACTTAGATCCACTTTATGATAACTCCCTTTGCATCCATTAACATGCTTCCTGGCCAGGTGGATGATGTTTAAGCATCTGTTGAAAGATCTGGGTCAATATTGTCTGTTCTGTCATTTTAATTGGCCAATTAAGCTGTGGTCTGTCCATAAACTGCTGGTTTTATGAAGTGTTGTATGAGTTGATCCTATCATTGGAGTCAGCTAAAGAACATGACTGTTATTCATTGCTGATAACAGAGACAACTGTGTGAAGCTATAAAACAATTTTTTGCAGCAGGATTGTTTTTATTTAGGCTATGTTGTATTCTCTGTTCTTGCTGCTTTGTTTTAGTGTGAAGAATCAATGGTGCAGTGTGGCCTTAGTGGTTTGGGCACTTGCTGCATCAGATGTGTGAGCTGAATTTAATGTCCACATGAAGAGGCTGCAGCAAAGGCAAGACAACATAGATTATATTAAACATTAGACTGTCATAAGTATAAACCATGGAAAGAAGGATAAATGCTGTGTGAAAAGTAAACCATTTGATTTAGAGACAGCATATACTGTAATACCTGGTATTAGTTTTATTAAATCTCAAATGCTTAGGTCAACAAACTTCAGAATGACATTCACACTGTTGATAGACATTAGGGTGAAGGTTTATTTTTTTAAATCAGACATCTATGACTTTCTTGATGCTATAAACACTTTTTAACTCTTGTCCTCTAACCAAAGATAGTCTTTGGGTTGGACACTTCAGAGGGACATAATCCACTTTTTTAGTTAGTTAATATATTTTGTTGTGTACTTGGAATCTCTAAAAGTGCAGATAAGGTGAATTTAGTCTATCTTGGTGCTGCGTAGATAACTTTATATTGTGTTTGGCTCATGTTTTTCAACTTGTTCAGTTTTCTCTATTCTCTATGATATTTTCTGAACTATTACGTCAAATTATTTGTGACAGAATTGCCAAATAAGGTCTGGATCCACCAACTACAATTTTGTCGTTGTCTTTTTGTCATCATTCTCCTCTGGCTCTGGGTCAGACTGTGGCTCCAACATGTAAGGCTGGCTGGACAAGTCTTCTGTTGTTGACATCTTTTAATTCATTTGTAAATAAAACATTTCTGTGCTGTGAGATAGTCGTAAACCCCTCTATCAAACTGGAATGATATTGTCTGGAAGCTGGAGGAGGGTGGGGTTTAGCGCCTCAATTGGACTTAAAGAAAGAGCATTAAAACGAGTTGACCTGAGACACCTCAGAAAAGAGGTGAAAGAGAGGCTTGTGGAGTTACAATAAAGAGGAATTCAGATCAAATCATAGCAGTTCCACTTTATATAGACCTCAAGTGACTGATTTAAATGTGAAAAAGATGGATTTAAAAGCATATGTCTACATTAAATTAATTAGTGTCAATATACTTTTTTAATAATAAATGAATGTTTGTCATTTTATATTCTTTTTTCTCACAGTTTGCCTCTATATATTATTTATACATCATAACAATCATATGCACTTTTTTCCAATTGTTTTTCTTTAACTTGAGAAATTTCAAACTACCAAAACAGACAGTAGAATAGAGCTTTATTAAACAATGATTCAACTTTTTTTGTACAAACAGAAAAATGTTTCGGCTCTGTGTCTTCATCTCCCAAAATCTGAAGACACAATCAGTGTAATCTGCACATTTAAAATCTAAAACATTGATCATTAATATCTTTTTTCTGGTTTTGAAACATTGGCTGTGTCTCAGTTCATTGGTTGAAGCCCACATAGACCGCGGCACACGTAGGCCACACCCTTTGTGGGACACCAATGTGGGCTGCGTTTTGTGGGTTTTTTCGACCGCATGAATAGGCGTCCATGAATTGGGAAGCCTACGGTGTGGGGCGGTGATGTAAGCAGCCCCTGAATTGAGACACAGTCCTTATCTATCAGCTGTGAGGATTTAGCTTCTAGAAGATTCAAAGGAAATCTCATTCTTACACATTTAAAATGGCTTCTGACCTGACTAGCAATAGAGTTAATAAGATGTGGTTTGAACTGGAGTGAATTAATCTGTAACACCTCATGTGCCAAGTCTGGTGCCTTTCTGGTTAGAATATTCCACTTCTGTTCTTCTGGTTGTACTAACAAGTGAGGGAAATTACCTCAAAGTGACTGCTTTCAGTGTGTTGTGTAGCTTCAGCATGTGGGTGGACTGCACCATCTGCTGTGGGTATTTCACTGAATGTTGATCTTTTAGCTGCCTTAAGGTTTGTGTGGTTAGTTAGCAAAGAAAATAGCCTTTGTTGGTTGTGTTTGGCATACACCATGATGAGTAGATGCATATAGACAGCCAACATGCACAGAGAACTGAAGTGTTGTTAACCTTCTTCCTGCTTCTGATAAAGTGGTACAACAGGCTCTCTCCCTCTCTCCTTCTCTCTCTCTCTCTCTCTCTCGTTTGACTGGATTGCAGGATTCGAAGGTTGCTCCATGGTGCCATCTATTTACCCGCTGGAGACACTGCACAACTTGCTGTCCCTCAAGCAGGTGGAAGAGTTTCTCCAAAAAGTGTGCGAGAGCTGTGAAGCTCAAACCAAAACGATGAAAAGTAGGTCTGCACTCAGATATGATAACAGATTTATCATATTTACTTATTATTAGAGGTGTCCCGATACCGATACCAGTATCGGAATCGGATCCGATACCAGCATCAAGTACTCGTACTCGTACTCGTAAAAGCCAGCCGATACTCTTAACCGATACCACTTTTGTCTCCTCCTGTGCTGCGCTGCAGCACAAAGGGTAAACAACAATCCATACCAGGCGGGGGCGCTAACGCACTGACAAGTTATTTCCGACCGCACCCCCGAATAACAGAAGAAGAACGACGAGAAGAAAAGAAGAAGAAGAAGTAACATATCGGCAGTTCGGAGATATTTAAGAGCAGCACGGAGGACAAACAAGCAGACTGTCTGCTGTGCTCTGCTAACTGTCAAGAGGAGGAGAGAAAGTTGGATGTTTTAACAGCAGCARTTTGATTCAACATTTGAGGACAAGACATGACAAAGAATTCAAAGAGTTTCTGCTGCTAGCAGAAGCCTTCAAAAACAGCACTATGCAGCAGTTGTTGCTGTAACTTCAATGCTGTTTTTTTTTTTCTTGTAGAACAAACTAAGACATAAGCAGAATATGGAAGGAAATTTGTTGTAAAAACATTTTATTTTTCACTGTGGTTCTTCTCAGATTTTGTTTTAGTTGTTCCATTTAAGTTTGAACTGAGATTTACTGCACTTTATTACTATTAGTCATTTTTTAAACAGTTTAAGACTGAAGCAGAGTAAACTTCTATAGATGTGCTGCTAAAATTTACATTTTAATTTAAATTTGGTAGTTGCATGTTGAGGAAAATGTATAAAAATAACTTATTTTGTTTTTTAATGTATGCAACAGCATTTTTTTTTGCAGTATTTGTATTGTTAATACATTCAGAGGGAGTGTGGCCTTATAAAAAAGAGCCTGTTTGAAATAAAATAAATGGTTTCAAAAGTTATGGTGTGATATATATATATCAACTTATCTACTTGTCTGAGGCTACGTTCACACTGCAGGTCTTAATGCTCAGTTGTGATTTTTTGAAAAAATCAGATCTTTTTGTGTGAACGTTCACATTACATTTTAAATGTGAACGTTCACATTACATTTTAAATGTGAACGTTCACATTACATTTTAAATGTGAACGTTCACATTACATTTTAAATGTGAACGTTCACATTACATTTTAAATGTGACCTGCATCAGACCCCTGTGTGAACGCTCCACAGCACTGATGTGACACGCATGCGCAGTAAAAGACGTGACGTCTCATCAGCCGGCTTGTTTGTTTACAGAGCTAGCATGGTTGCTACATTTTGCACATCGAATCTGAAGTTGTTGTTTAATCAGAGCTGATTAAATAATTATCTGACGCTTCTTTAGTTCAGTGTTTATACCTGAACCTGCCTCTGACCGGGATGCTCCAGTGAAGCTTTTTTTTTTTTTTTAACGAAACTACGAGCTGGAAATAAAGTATCGACCGAGTATCGAACTTCAGGATCGATACTCTCCGCGACCCAGGCTGGACATGTTATCAAACTATCTACGTGGAAAATGAAAAGTAAAAAGATGAAACAACTGGACTTGTGTTTTGGAGCTGTAAACACATGGAGCTGCAGATTTAAACAGCGAGACTTGAGGTTAGTGTCTTATCATCCTTCAGCCCCTCCTCCTGATGAAAAAGTCAGATGAATGTGACATGAGCGTTCACACTGCAGTCACTTTGAAAACATCAGATATGTATATGATTTAAAACCACATACTGAAACRGCCTGGGTCGGATTTGAAAAAATCGGATTTGTCTCGTTCAGACTGTCATAAAAAAAAATCAGATATGAGTCAGATGGGTCAAAAAAATCGGATTTGGGTCGGATTTGCCTGCAGTGTGAACCAGAGTTTGCACTACCTCTTTATTGTCAAACATAATATTTACCCATCAATTTTTACATGATAATTGCATTTCATTTTCATTCTGTTTAATATTCAACAAGTTGAACAGATAATCCACCCTAACCCCACTACTTGGTATCGGTATCGGTATCGGTATCGGCGAGTACCCAAACTCAAGTACTCGTATTTGTACTCAGTCTTGAAAAAACTGGTATCGGGACACCCCTACTTATTATAAATCAATGTAGTAGCCATAAAGTTGTAGGACAACACAGAGAAATGCAAATTTAGACAAACTGAAAAAGCAAACAAACATTTTAAGGCTTTTAAGACCCTCAGTTCAACTGTCATGTTTTTAATAAACTGCAGGAAAGTGTTTGAAACATGCAGGAAAAGTTATCTTCGTTAGCCATAGTTTTTTAATATAAAGTCAGGTCAATAAATACTGTATTGGAACCAAATCTGTTTCATTAAACTGTTCATGAGATATTTCGCCAACAGACGGAGAAGTGCACACAGACATTGTGTTCACCCACCTTCCATGGTGGTTAGTGATGATTAAATAAACAGTTGTTTCTGACATCAAACACACCTGTTAGCAGTTTGTTTGCTGCTCTTTTTTAGAAACTGGTTCTGGGAAACAAACCCTGATGTGTGTATTTGTTCTCTTCCAGCCCTCTCTGGTTTATTCAACTCCCAAAGCCAAACCTCTCTGGACAGTCCACGGCCGCCTCTGTCCTCCTCGGAGTCTGAGGCGTCACTCCAACCACCAAGCCAGCCTCTGTGGCGTAAGTCCTTTTTACATAAGGTCTTTAATTTGGGCTGTTCCAATACCAGTTTTTCTCAAACATATGAGTATTTTAGTTTGTGTACTCGCTTACACCGAGTACCAGCATTGAGTATTTACGAACAAGGACTGGATCAAGTAGAATATGCAGCACAGTAGATACTGCTGCATCAATATAAATTAAATTTTCACTAACGACTAAATGTGTCAACTCAATACTAGTATCCCAGTACTTGTACTCGTATTGGTTCCGAGTATCAAGGCGTTTTGTCCGTGTACATGTACAAAATTCTGGTGTCGGCATACCACTAATTTTAACGATGCTGAAAAATAAGTCAGATGGCTTTACTGTATTTTTCGGACTATAAGCCGCACCGGACTATAAGCCGCACCCCCAATATAAAAAAACAGTACACCCAAATTTGTCGTCAAAAAAGTGAATTCAACATCAAAACATAAAAAGCAAACCTTTA